CATGTTCCACTAGAGTTGTAATTTTCCAGGTCAATGATGAAACTGTAGCACATATTGCACGAGGCAGTCCTCATTTACAGTATCTTTGCCTGTCAAATTGTACACAAATCACCGATCGATCATTGATCTCATTATCACAAGGCTGCAGAATGTTAACGTGAGTATTGACTGATTCTTTTCCTAAGTCTTTTTATCGTTAGTCCTGCCTGCTTTCACATTTTAACCCGCCTCACCTGTCGGTTAAGAGATCCACGTTGCGGCCACCGCGCGAACTAGCTGACCCTTGGCCGGTTGACCACTTCTTTGACGCGGATGATTGAGATGGTGCCACCAGGCCATTTGACCTTTTCTCTCGACACGGCGCTAACTTGCCACCTAGTCCTTTTTATCACAAGGTCTGGCTGCTCTCATATTTTGACCCGCCTTACCTGCAGGGTCCTTTCAAACTTTTTTGAATGGACCTATACGTCACTTTCCTGTTCGGAATCGACCTCCCACACGAAGCATGCCGAGAATGGCTTCATGACTGTTCCAGGACTCTATCTTAGGCTGAGTGCGTAGACAAACAGACATGATCTGGTGTAGTCGCGTAGTTGTGTTCCCCTTCTGCTCACCAAGTCGGCTGCCCCTCCGCTCACCTGCTTCTGTCTAGCACCTTGAAGGGCCAAAAACGGCGTAGTCCCTCATGACCTCATCCATAGACCGGGATTCCTGTCAACATTGTCAATCAACACTAATCGCTATAAAACTGAGAACTTCTTGACTTTACACTTTTTGACCTTCCTCAAGTTCTACAAATTTCAGAGACATCGAGCTGTCTGGTTGCAGTCTTCTTTCGGATGCCGGTTTTATTCAGCTGGCTAGGCACTGTAAAAATTTAGCGCGTATGGATTTGGAAGATTGTAGTCTTATTACAGACGCCACTATTCATTCGCTCAGCACCAACTTGTAGTAATTTGTCGGAATTGGTGAGTTGAAGGTTATTCTAGGGTGCCGTTCAGGAGATCCACACCGCAGCGATGTATTGAAAGCGGTGTTATAAGTGGTGCCTCGTGCGCGACATTTGCACCAGGACCTATGTTTTCAAAAAGACATTTCTCTCTTCTCCGCAATCAAGTGTTTTTCAAAAAATGACTCCGTGTTTTGAACTGCTTATAATCGGCGTTCACAATGAACATACCACTCTCGTCCCTCAAAACGGCGCAATAAAGAAGTTAGAGACATTTGCGCATGGCAACAGTGGCAAGAGCGACATCATACTGTAGCTGGACGCTCGCGAGCAGCTTCTATCCCTGCAACACCCGCGCGACACGTGTCGGACATAAATTGAAACGCTCAAGCTGTTTTAGGGTTCCATATGGTTCTTTACAAGCGCGATCCTGATTGGGAAGGCATGTGAACAAAATGAATGCAGCAGGCCCTTTTTTGAGATTCATACCCTGCAAGCGATGGGAAGGACGTGATCCGAAGAGCAGGTAGTTCGTCTTCCGTACTCATGGCAAGAAGGGGGCAAGAAATGAAGAGCAGTTAGTGTGCTTTTCAAACTCACCTAACGATCTTTCAGATGGGACCACTATGCAATTGTTACTACCTCCAATGTTCCGACAATAGACCAGTTTTACTATGGAGCTTTCTAAAAAAGCCTGAAATTTTTTCCACAACCTTTCAACCTCCGACCTGAATATTCGCATCGCCTGGCTAAGATTTACGCTAGTGCTCACAGGTGTCAGGTCCCACGCTCAAGTTTTTGCGATCCAATCGAATAAGGAGATAGCGCCATCCTTACGCGCCCGACCTACATCGCCAATGACTGCTAAAGATGAGTCTGACAATTGAGTTTGAGTGTTTCCGATGTTCTTTTTATTTTTCGCTTTTTTCTACTGCTGGAGGCTACCTATGGGATACTGATCCATGACGAGCAACCAAACTACCACGCACACATGATCGCGGGAACTGGTCGTTTAAAGTGAAAGTAATTATAGCATGTCGATTCCAGGCGGGCTAGGAAATGAAAGTTACTGCACATCGCTGTAATATGGTTTATTCCCGTAGGCCCCTACTGCAGCTTGATGGGAGAGCCCTCGGTCACGGTATGGCTCGATCCACGTTCATATTTCGCGACTGTAATTGTTTTCAAAGGCCCCAGGTGGAAGTAGCCATATGAGATGAATCCTATGTCATCAGATGAATTTCATGACGCTCATGTCATATGTACCTGCTCGCATGACTACCAAATTTTTGCAGCCTTTTAATTCTTATGGTTTTAGAGCCTTTCCCACTGTAGTTAATTACGGACGATCACCATTCATTGCCTTGCACCACAACAAGGGAGAAATTGGCAGGTATGCTGTATTCGCTGAGTATTTTGTTGTTTTTTTTTCTTCTGCTTTTGCAGTGCAAAGTTGATACCTTACCTACCTTTTTTGTAGGTTTTGGAACTGGACAATTGTCCGCAGATAACTGACTCAGCACTTTCACATATGCGACATGCAAAGGCATTGAAACGAATCGACTTGTATGATTGCCAGAATGTTTCGAAGGAAGCCATCCAAAGATTCAAGGTTTGCGCCTCCAGTTCTTGAGAACACAGCCGCATGTCAAACCGAATTAGCTGACTATATGTGCGATGCTTAGAACAATTGTCGTTCTAAAAGATAATAGGTATTGATTGCCATAGGTGCGCGCCGCGCCGCGCGGTAGCGTACTCGTTCAGCATCCACGTTTGGACCTTCACCAGTGAACCGTGACTCCTGTCAAAAACCGGTGAAAGAGAATAACTGATATTCTAGCAGTCTTCGGGTGTCAGTCTCGGGGTGTCAGGAGGGGCAAAATTAGCCCGCCTCCAGCTACCTTTCCCTTGCCTTTAATAGTGATCGGTTAGTAATCGATGCAGTAAAGACATAACCAAAGATGAAGGCGCCACGGGTGGGTTCATCTGATGCCTCTTGATGCCCCCTCTCCACTCCTCCAACTGATCGGGAATATAGTAACTGTAGTTGTAGAGGGAGCCTACACAGGGAGACCAAGGGGTGCTCACTCTGATTGACTATGCTCAAGCCTGACCATTGAACCTACTATGGGGGGTCACTGTCTCGGCGGCATGACGCAGGCGATCAAGCTCGATCGCGCTGCGACGTCATTTTATCTGCCTGCCTGTACCAACTTGTATTGACCTTATGGAGTCAAAGTGTATAGCAGAGCAGCCACGCTGGTCTTCAGCAACAGAGCAATTATTTCCGTTTTTTTTCTCTCTTTTAATTTTCTCTTCTAACGCTTTACGCCAGCCGGAGGTGGTGTAGTGGCAGGAGACACGCTTACCACGCGCACGGTCCCGGGATCGAATTCCAGATCAGCTCCCGCCCACGCGAACCAGGCCTTCTATCCTCCGGGGCCGTAAATTGGTACCAGATTGAGCTGGCCTTCGCGAGTGTAGGCCCGTGTAGGCCATTGTGTAGGCCACATCGCGTTCAGTAAGCCACTACGATTCTGAATGGAAGCAGAATACATGCTGCATCCTTAAAAGGATTGATCAGCGGCGAAGACTTTATCCTTTATCCTTTACGTTTTGCATTCAGCAGGTAGTCCTTCTTCCTCAATCAACCGTCTTATTTTCCTTAGCAATTTCCTCGAATTCATTTGTATCCTGAAAATCCTTTGTTTTCAGCATCATCGACCACATGTGGAAATCCATGCTTATTTTGCCCCAGCCACACCTCCAGCTAATCCGGCTACAGCCCGAGCAGGTATTAGTGTTTTCCGCGTTCTCTTTCCAATATCTTGCTGGTTTCAGTAGGATGGAGGTGTCGTCTAGGAGGAGAAAATGCTGCTCTGTTAAGCTGGCCGCAATGCTTTGCCAAGTCATTGTGTAAGCGATATCGCATTCAATAAGTGTTGCGATTCTGAGTGGAACCAGAATGCTTGCCG